AGGCCATCAATAGGGTAAATGTTAAGGAATTGAAGTTAAGAATTGTAACTTTGTAGGTGAAGTAGTCGAGCTTTCTGATCCATTTGTCCGGTTTCAGGCGACCGTACCTCTTTATTTTACCGATCTTGTTTTTTTTATTTCTGATTAATATCACAATCCAATCTTATTGATCCTTTCAAATCGAAAAAGCAGTTTTTTTGGAATTTAAGATAACAGTTTCTGTAATAAAACGGATACTGTACTGATATGGTGGCCACGATGACATCGTCGCTGGGCGTGATAATTTCTCGGACTCTTAAGATTCACCCCCCACACACTCATTCCCGGGAAGAAACTCTGAGGCACTGTCTCCTCTCGAGCTGTATACCAGACTCATTCCTCGTTCGCAGCAAACCTGCGCAGAATGTAGTCTGTGGAGACTAATTGAGAGCAGGTAGGATAGTCTCTATTTCATTAAACATCAACTGAAATTCTGGAAAAGTTTATTTCGTTCGCAATAATTGATTATGGTACGGCCTAATTTCAGGATAGAAGGCACATCGATTTTCCTGAAGCCCATGTCGCTTTGCGCAAAAACGTCCATAGCAAAGCTGAAGATCATTCCCGGCAGATTTGAGCTAAATACACGGTGAGCTGTGCATTTTGTTATTCCTGGACAATGGTCTCGAGTGAGAGTCCGAAACGTCGGACAAATAAAACACTGGTCCCAGAAAACGTCTTTCCGCCTTCTATTAAATTGGATGGGCCTCGCATATTTTTGAATATTCAGAATTTCAGGATATTTCAGGATATTTGCCAGAAAAGGAATACCTAATTGTCCTGCGTGTTGCTCACTTTTTTCAGTACCCATATTAATTCAAACAATTTTCTAATTGTGAGATCTTTACGAGTGTGGATATTTTGCATTTAATTTCAGTTCAGCAGGCTATGGCCTGCATAAAGCGGGTCATTAAGCAATCCATGCACAAGAAGGCATTTATCAGTGATTGCCGTTATTTGTCATACGTTTACAGCAATGACTGACCGTAGCCTATAAGTGCTGCAACTTCCTGTGTGCATGTATCACCCGCTTCTACTACTGTTTGCTGCTCATGCCTCTGGATAAAGAATCTGCGACGGATGTCAAAACGTCAGGCGAATAAAAGCGTAGTTCCAACGATCGAGTCTTCTTCTCTTTACCAAGAACAACATTATCATTGACGATACCATAATATTAGTCCCATGAAATATCGTCAGCTGTGAAAGAATGTTGTTCTTGTTTATGTTGATGATTATGATAAAGATGCTGGCGATGATGACGATGATGATGAG